CCCTCAAAACAGAATTTACTATATAACACAGAATGTCACAGAATTTTGCAAATTTCAAATGAATAAATCAACAGTAGGGCTGTATACTTAATCAAATCGTGATATGGACTAGTGTCTATGAATATCAAAGCACTAAAAGACCATTTACATATCTAGTCTGCACATCTCACTGTGGTTTACTACACATTGGGGTTGTGACGGTGAGGAAATGTTCCCACCGGTTAATCGACGTGTGACAACACCGGTAATACCGGTATCACCGCGGGGGCGGGGGACGTGTAGTGTCTGTTCTTTTACTGAACTAAATGATTTTTATTACTATAAAAAATCAAAACGACGGTGGGGGTCGGTGCTGCAAGTGACGTAACTGGTGTTGCGGCTTAACACCGATATCACCGTCAGTACCGTCTATCGCGGCAAGCCTACTACTGAAGCACACATGACGCTCAAGGGAATAAAAATAAATGGACCTCGGAAAACACAGAATTGGGAAAAAATACAATGGATTTCATAGGGCCATAAAAATGTACTTAAAAAATATTTTAATATATTTTTGTTAAACTGTTCAAGATACAAGATTTTAATTATTTAAATTGACTAGACATGCTTTTTGATTATTAAAATGTAATTAAATCATCAAAGTGGATTAGATGTGCTTTCTGATTATTATAGTTTAATTTAACCATTAAAATGGAATGCTGAAAAAAAAAAAAAATATATAATTTCTGTGTTATCTTTTAATTTTTCTGGATTTATGATTAAATACAAATTTATTATCAAAAATGGTGATAATCAAATGAGGTCATAAAACATTAACTTAATTAATCTGAAATGTAATCAAATGAACATTTTATAATTCCTTTAAATTTTTGACAAAGTGCTGCATATGGCTGAAATCAGAGGGTCTCACAAAGTGCATTATTTCCCACCCTTATGTGGAATACAATGCAATTTAATAGCCCTGTTTCAGATCCACCGATATGTGTTTGGTTACATCCTTGCTATAAAACACGTATAACTCTCAACAATAACACAAATCAAAATTGTTTGTGATGAATGGGCTCAATCAAAATCAAAACGACCCAACACAAACACACACACGGCACGATTATGATTCATTTCAACCAACAACTCAATCTCCGCACATAATGAAAAAAGCACATGCGAAGGTTTTGACCTTTCTTTGCAAACACTGTCAAGTTGTGTTAACCATGTCAGTGCTGAAGCCTGTGAGCTGAACACAATAGGATCCACTCATCTGGACTGCCACTGGCTACGACTCAAAACCTTAGTGTGCTGCCTATCTAGACAGCATTTTAGCACATAACATGCAGCATTTCTGTAATGGCCTGTCCCAAGACCCACACTTGCAGTCTTTGCATCTGTCCACTTACATGAGATTTCACCAGTATTTGGCCAAAGTGTTCAAGTGGGCCTGAAAACCACAAGCGTGTAGAACTTTTGATTACCAGATGGGACACACTTAAAAACTCAAAAACGTTTTTTTTTTTTTTTTTGAATATATGATAACATAATATATTACTTTTTCTACCCAAAGCATAAACGGACGGCATAAAAACTTACCCTGAGCATCGAAAGCTTAATCCTGAGCAGCTAAATTCCACTAACTTCCACCCACAATAACTTAGCTGTGATATAATGGAATGCTGAAAAAAAAAAAAAAAAAGTGAAAAAAAAATAAAATGGATTTTGAAAAATAAATAAATAAAACTGATTTCTCAGGGCCCTATGTTTCTCCCAAAATGAAGAGTCTAAAAAGTACACACAGCTTCACACCACACTTTCCTATTGCTCAGACAAAATGACAGACCTCAAAAGCATAATAATGTGCTGGCCTCAATCAGGATTTCAGCTGTGGCCAGCGCTGTTGAAGGCAAGAGGCTTCAGTTTCTGGATGGGCGTCTTGCAGACAGATGTGGAGTTCCGCTAATGGAGAGCACTCTGCACCCCCGTTGAGTTTAAGTCACTCCTTTGCAATCAGCCACAAATCTGAATGCAGGCCTCTGTCTGTTTGCAGTTGCACAGATGCATTGTGGGTCTGGAAACAAATTCATACAACTGTCACATGGGACTATTAAAACCAGCCGAGGAATGCATTGCAAATTCAGAGCGATTTGGGATCCACTCTTTTCTGTCTTACAATCTATAAGACACCAGCTCTGAATTGCCAAAAGGTTCAGACGCAGACTGATGGTGTGATATTCAGCATCATTATGCATCTGGTCATGAGTTCACACTGTTCCTGTTGAGACTGAAACACAGAGCTTTAACACAGTGACCCACATAAAAGACTTCATTAAAGAAGCTGCTGAAAAAGCCATTCATTCATTCATTAGTCAGGAGAGACTGTGTAAAACAATGCTGTTACTGTTGCAATTACATCAAAGCCTCAAAGGCAACACTTTACACCATAAGAGGTGATACAGACCGAGCAAAGTTACAGCCCAATGAAATCGGTTGTATTTTTTTTCCCAAATTCCAATAATTTTTTCCCCAAATTCTTTAATTTCCGTTTATTTTTCAAGATTCCGTTGTAATAATTAGATCAAATTATTGTAATCGAAAAGCATGCTAATTAATTGAAATCCTGAAACATATGCAATTTAACACCAATTTTTTAGAAGTTCAACAAAAATAAAATTTTTACGGTCCAATGACATTTGTTTTATTTTTTCCCTAAATTCTGTTTTATTCTTCCCAAATTCTGTGTTTTCATTTTTTCGGGATTCTGTTTTAATAATCGAAAAGCATGTATAATAGTCTCTTATTTAAAAAAAAAAAAAAAAGTATA